AGCAAGCTCCACGTGTGCCCCTCTTCCCTTGGCGCAGTTGGTCCTTTGCCACCTCTGCTGGATCCTGCACCTCCCAGGCTGCCACCTCATAGATCAGAACCTAAAATTTCGGAAAGGTGGGGGTATCTGACCTCATGCTGGACGTGGCCCATTGATCAGCTACGTGTTATCTCTGCACTTCATCTGGACCCCCGGCACTTCCAGGGGCGCTCCCCTGCCCTGCTCTGACTTCACCCTGGATCTGGCGGGTGGTGGACGGGATCCTGCGGGTTCGCTGGTGGATTTAAGGGGCCACTTCGTGTGACACGTTCGCTTAGCCCCGTGTCCCGTGGAGTGTTTCTCTTTTTCTTTTCTTTTTTTATTGATATAGTTCACTTACCATAAAATCCACCTTTTAAAAGTATACACATGATTCATTAGTTTTGAATATACTCACAAAGTGGTACATACTATCTTATTGCAAAGATTTTCATCACCCCAAAAAGAAATGCACCCACCAGCAGTGACTCCCTACTCCCCCCCATGACCCCGGTCCCTGGTGGCCACAGTCTTCGTCCATCTCTACGGATTTGCCTATTCTGGACACTTTAGGTCATTGAAGGCTGGCAAGATACGGCTTTTGTGACAGGCTCCCTTCACGTAGCGTGACGTCTTCCGGGTTCATCCGTGCCGTCGCGTGTCTCAGCACTCCCTCCCTTCTGGGCCCAAATGTTGCCCCTCGTGCACCCACACCGCGTCGTGTGTGCCCACTCATTAGCTGGCAGACGTTCCGGCCGATGCTGCTGTTTGACTGCTGCGAACCATGGTCACGTGAGCACTCCTGAACAGGTGTTCGTGTGGACACGTGTTCCCATTCTCTGGGTTATGTGTCCAGACGTGGAAAGGGTGGGTCTTGTTGTAACTGTGTTTAACTGCGGAGCTGCCGGACTGGTCCCCAAGCAGCCGCCGCTCTCCACCCGCACTGGCAGCATCAGCACTTGTGGTCCGTCATCTGTCTCTCTCGCTGAAGCCGTCCCGGTGGGCGCAGCGTGGTGTCTCCCTGTGGTTTGTATGTGCGGCTCCCGGTTGGCGAGTGGTTCTGAACGTCTTCTCCTGAGTTTTTCTTGGCCTCTCATAGGTCCTATTTTGAGAGCTATTTAAATCCTTTGCCCATTTTCAGTGTGGGTTGTCTTCTCATTACTGGTTTATTAATAGTTCTTTATATATTTTGGACACTAAACAGATGAGTGATTTGCACATGCTTCCCCCATTCCGTGGGTTCTCTTTTCACTTTCTTGATAGTGTCCTTTGAAGCACAGAAGTTTTTAGATTTGAGAGTGTCAAATTTGTCTACTTTTACTTTGGCTGCTTGTGCTCTTAGTGCCTAAAGAACCGCCACCTGCCCCACGGCCGTGAAGATTAGACCGGCGTTTTCTCGGACAGTGTCCGTCCGGTCGGAGGTCGGAACTCAGAGCCGGACCCGACTGAGTGTGTGTGTCTGGTGTGAGGCAGGAGCCCCGCTCTTCTGTGTTATTATTACGATTTTTACATGCGAATGTCCACGCGTCCCAACCCCATTTCTTGAGTGTTTGTCCCCTTGTCTTAGCACCCTGGTGAAAAGCCATGGATGGTAGCCATGTGGTCTAGTTTTGAACTTGCAAGCCAGTCCTGTTGAACCTCACGCCGCCGCCATGCTCTCTGGACTGCGTGGCGTTGTAGTAAGCTTTGGAATTGGCATGAGTGAGTCCTCCCAGCTTGTTCTTCTTTTTCAGGGTTGTTTTGGCTGTCTGGGCCCACTGCATTTTCAGGAAGGATTATTTCCATTTTAGGATGACCTTGTCCATTCCTGCACAAAACTGGATTTTAATGCAGATGGCGTCGTGGGCATTTTGCCAGCTTAATAATCTTACATTTTCTATCCACAAACGTAGCTTGTCTGGTCATTTTGTTATTTTTTAAATTTGTTTCAACAGTTTGTTGGTTGCAGTGTTTAAATTTTTGTTAAGTTTATTTCTCAATGTCTTTCGATGCAATTGAAGTGTAATTATTTTCTTAATTTCACATTTGGATTATTCATTGCTAGGGTATAGAAATACAATGGTCTTTTTGAATATTGATCTTGTACCCTGCAGTTTTGCTGAACTCATTCATTGATTCTAATCATTTTTGGGTTTCTGCGTGTGAATCCCCTGGGATTTTATGTGCAAGATCGTGCTATCTGCTCCTTCCTTTCCAGCTTGCGTGTTTCTTACTTCCTTTTCTTGCCTAATAGCCCTGGCCACCGCCTCCAGTGCAGTGTTGAGCACAGCAGGAGTAGAGTCCTTGTCTTGCCCCTGACCTTGGGCAGAGAGTCCTGTCTTTCACCACAGGGAGGGAGTTTCTGTGGATTCTTGTTGATGCCCTTCCATCAGACTGAGAACAGTTCCCTTCAATTTGTATTTTGTTGAATGCTTCTATCACGAGGGGGCATTAGACTTTATCAAGTGCTTTTTCTGCATCTGTCGATAGGATCGTGGGGTTTCTTCCCTTCTGTCTTTGTGCAGAGGGTGCTTTTTCTGCTGGAGAGGCCGTGGTCAATGGCATGGACCCGGGAGCCAGCTGCCCAGGTGTGAGCTGTGTGGCTGCAGCACTCACTGTGTGAGGGGCACTACCACTCTGTGCCCCGTTGTCCTCCTCTGTGAAATGGGGCGACTGCTTCCTCATGGGGTTCTTGTGAGAGCACCCACAGTGCTTTGCAGGGGACAGCATCTGGCACACGGCAAGTCCAAGTGCAGCTCGCCAAGGTGTGGACCATTAGCAGTGACGGAGTGTGAAAGTTCCAAAGGGCTGGGGTGGGAGAAGTCGAGGAGGTCATTGCAAGGCAAACATAAAAGCTGGGATGAGTCACCTGCTCTGGAAAGTCTGGCGGCGGGGAGCCTGGGAACTCTTCCGGGACTCGGCCTGTTGGCCCCAGGCGGTCTCTGAATCGCCCTGGAGAGGACGGAGCCGAGGTGGGGCGCTGCCAGCCCAGGTGAGCGCCTGTGCTAAGCCTGCCCTGCCGCACCTTGCGTATTCGGACCTGAGTCACGTCCCTCTGTTGGGGCTGGACCGCAGGGCGTGTGTCTGCAGCCCTGAGCCTTCTCGCACCCGCTCTCTCCCTCTGCAGTCGTAGAGGGTCCGCCAGCCTATCCCCAGAGCCTGCACCCCAGCTCGAATCCAGGCTAGGGGTGCAGAAATTGGCTGGTTTAGAGAATGGCCTCCAGACAAAAGCCAGGGCGTGTCCCCGCCCTGATTTTCCCGATTTACCTTTTCCTGGCCTGCCATGGGAACCTGGCCCTTCACCCAGCGCTCCGGCGCTGAACTTTATGTGACCTTGAGCCTCTATTTCAGTGTGGGTGCACTGTGACAGTGTAGTGAACAATCTGCGGGGCGCCTGGGGGGCTGTCTGCCAGGGCTTGGCCAGCTCTGGCTCCAGACTACCCTCCTGGGGTCCCTCGGAAGCTCTGCAACCCTGAAATTGGCCCACACTCTTGCCTAGTTGGAATTTGGACTTTTGGGGGTGAGGCGACATGGAGGGACATTGAAACCCCTTTAATGTACACTGTGTGATGCTTGGCCTCCGTCTTTATGAGGTATGCGAGGCTGGACCTCAGCTCAGGCTAATGTACTGACCTCCTAGCTGGTCGAGTGGCTGAAATGTTGTGGGAGACGAGCTATTTTGCTTGTTTACTTTGGTTCATTTTCCAAGTTTGTGTGTGTGGGGGGTGCCCCCACCCCACTAATGCTGAGCTTTCTTGGACCCTGTGCCCAGAAGTACCGGGTGGTCCCACCTCCTGAGGTGGTCTGATCAGGGAAGGGCGCTGGACAAGAAGCAGTAATAACAAACCAGTAATGTAACCGAACACTCAGTAGGCAGCGCCGGAATGCATTTGTTATGCCACGGATTTGCCCTCACTCAGGGCCTGGCACTGGCCAGAGGTGTCCGGTGAACAGGGCAGACTCAGCTCCCAGATCTTTTCCAAAAACCACATGCTTAGAATCTACTGGGTGGGCGCATCCTCCCACCCACCAGGGCCCATCACCAGGGCCACAGCTCAGGAGGCCCAGGTGATGAGGCGGAAGCCACGGAAGCAGGCAGCGCTGGCTGGGGGCTGGAGGAGGGTGGCGGGCATGCTTGAAGGAGTTGGGAAGCGAGACAGAGCAGGCCTTGGCTGATGGGGTGGGTCGGGAGCCCCGCTGGCCCTGCCAGGGGAAGGCGTGGCTGTGCAGGCACCACTGTCACGCCCTGCAATCTCCCGGCCTTGGTTTCCTCCTGGGGGTTGTTTTGCACACTTCAGACGGGATGGGAGCGAAGCCGCGGCACAGTGCTGGACGGCGCCGAGGGCTGTTTGCAGGCTCAGTTCTGTGATCCTCGTTAAGCCGATACAGCGTGTGGCAGGAAGGGGAGTCTTCAACGAGCCAGGAAAATGTTCTCAGTTTATTGAGTGAAAATTCGGGTTATGCAACAGGATTCAGGTATAAAGCTCCATGTGCATTAATGGGCTTGTGCCGCGATTAAGGCAAAGGAGGTGGTGGGAACGTGTGTGGTTTTGACTTTTCTTTTATCTCCGGTTGCACAATTGCATGTTGGTTTTAAAATTATAGAAATGTTTATTAGGCGGCATAATTTTTTTACAGATTATTTTTAGAGAGAGGAGAAGGAGGAAGAGAGGGAGGGAAACATCCATGTGTGGTTGCCTCTGACACACTTCCTACGGGCCTGAAACCCAGGCATGTGCCCTGAGTGGGAATCGAACCAGTGACCCTTTGGTTCATAGGCCAGCACTCAGTCCTCTGAGCCACACCAGCCAGGGCAGGTGGTATAATTTTAAAATATGCTGGTGTGTGTGTATGTTTGTGTTCACACACAACTGTGGAGTTTGGGGTATCAGATCGGGAGAGCAAGGTTGAGGGTGGCCCTCGAGGGGTGGGTCTGTCCCAGGAATTGGGCCCTGGGTGGCTGGTGGGCAGGCATGGTGACCCGGCGTCTCCCCCGTCCACAGACGACAGGATCTGCTCACCGCCCTTCATGGAGCTGACAAGCCTGTGCGGGGATGACACCATGCAGCTCCTGGAGAAGAACGGCCTGGCCTTCCCATTCAGTGTGTGCCGCCCGGGGCCCTGCTGGGCGGGCGGGCGGGCGGGGCTGTTGGGGCCCCTGGCTTTAAACTTTTGGAGGGTGGATAAAGGACTTCTCAGCCAGGGAGGGCCTGGCCTTGGGTCTTTCCCTCCCGTCCTACCCGCCCCCTACACACACACACACTGTGGAAATGGGTCCTCGGGGGGTGTGGACAGAAGGTTCTCTTCGGCCCCACTCCGCCTGAGCGCAGGTGCCAGCCGCTGTCCAGCCCGAGTGTCTCCCCGCCCCACCTGCCCCTCCCCCGAGGGGCCCCTCGAGGTCTGAGTTTCCCGTTGGACCCATCAGGTTGGGCTTTGTGGGTGAGTGACCTCACTGATTCCTCTCCGCTTCTCTCTCCCCACCCACCGCAGTTTGCAAGACCAGAGTGGCCCACGGCACCAACTCGCACGAGGTGAGTGGTCGGTCCGAGCACCTGGCACGGCCGCCCCGGGCCCTGCGGCCCCCCGCGTCCCACTCCTTGTCCTGCTCCCGGAGGAGGAAAAGGCATCCTCTCCGCACCCTCTCGTCCATTCTTTATTCACCCAGGCACAGGGTGGGCGTGCTGGACAGTAGATACTTGAGCCACAGAGCAGACCCTCTGGGAGAGTCTGGCCCTGGGGCCCACCTCGGAGATGTTCCCTGAGACCTCACCAATGACCACAGGTGACCCCCGGTGGCAGTGTCCCTTGCCCCTGGCATGCGTGTGTGGGTCAGTGTCTTCAAACAGACCCTGGCATTGTGCTGCGGTACATGCTGTGATGCGGGCTGCGGGGCCACAGGCACTTCTGCTCCTGGGAAGGAATGCGGGGGTGGGGGCCGAGGCCTTGCTGCGAAGGTCAGCTGTCTCGGAGTTTGGGAGTCCTCTCGGAGCCTTCCCCGTCCGGGCCGCCTGGGCTCCATGCCAGGCCCCGGGAGGGAGCAGAAAGGCTCAGAGCAGCCAGACTATGTCCCCGGAGCCCACGCTGTGCTCGCAGGCACCAGCCCCTGCCTGCCAGCCCTCCGCCTGTCCCGTTCACCCAAGCTCTGTTTGTCAGGGGTGTCAGGATGGAAGGGCACCCACAATCCCAGTGTGACTGCACCGGCCCAATCAGCGCAGCTCAGCCTGTGGGGAGGGAGGCAGGCTGCCACTCACATGGACCTGGGCCAGGCCCCTCCCTGTGCTCGGCCTGCTCTCTGAGCATCTGGCCCAGGCTTTTAACCAGGGCTCCGATGGTGGCTGTGAAGCATTGGGAGCGGCTGTGGGAGCTGCCATGGGGCCCAGCCCCAGCGCAGGAAGTGCTCACCGCATCTGCTGGGTCATTGCCGGAGGGGCCGTGGTGCTGGGTCGGATCCCCAGGCACTGGGCCAGTGCCCTCAGAGGAAGCTGTTTCACCTCTCAGTCTCTCAGTCTGGCTCCAGCCCATACATGTGCCCCCCTGTGCTGTTTCGGGGAGGCCCCCCCTAAGGTGGACGGTCTGGAGTGTGGAGACTCCCAGGGCCTTGGTACTGTGGGTCTCCTGCCTCCTGGGCAGTTCTTAGCCCGAGAGGGGCACCCCTCTCATGGGTCTCCACAGCCCACCTAAGCAGGGGTGCCGGGGGTGCCGAGTGCAGCAAGGAGGACCCCGGCTTCTAGCTGCTCAGCCTCTGAGTGGCACCTGTACGTGCCACTGGTGTGCTCACAGGGCTGTTAAGTGCTGCGCTTTGTTTTCAAGCCAAGGCAAGCACACAGGTGTGCTCCCCAGTGGAGTGTCCCCCCACTTGGTTTTAAACCACCGAGCCAAAGCCCAGAGCACCCCACCCAGAGCCTGTCGCATGGACAGAAGTGGAGCTCAACAGGGCAAGCCCCTGCCTGTGTGGCTGCGGTGTGACCCACACCCGGCCCTCCTGCTGCCTCTGCTCCCGTCCGAAGGCCAAGGACACAGTCACTGTGGGCACGACAACACTGCCTTGGAGGTGCCTTGTGGGGACACCCCCAGGTCACTCACACAGTGGGGAGAACAGGGCCTGTCCTGGGTGCTCAGTGAGGAGCAGCCCTGGCCGTCTGTGGGGCCCCGGCCACAGGCCTCCCAGCCCCTGTTCCACAGTCTCCTGCTTTCTGCCTCCCGCCCCTGGGCCTTCGTGGAGGGTCCTCGACGGATGTCATAAGGGTGGGGTGGCACACAACCGGGGGTCCCGTTCCCGGGCTGCAGTGTGAGCAGCAGAGTTCTGCTGTGTGGCCAGCTCGGCCTGACACGGCGAGCCTGATGGAGCTCGATGGTCACAGTCTCTCCCCACTTCCCGAGTCCTCCCGCCGCAGGGCGGAGACGGCCCCGCGGCAGGGGACGGGTGCGCCGCTGTGTGCGAGGCTGCAGGCCTTGTGCCGACAGAGCCCTGTCCCCCCAGATGGCCATTGTGTTCAACCGGGAGGGCCTGAGCGCCGTGCAGCCGCCCTGTGTTGTCCAGAATTTCATCAACCACAACGCCGTCCTGTACAAAGTGTTCGTGGTCGGCGAGTCCTACACAGTGGTCCAGAGGCCCTCGCTCAAGAACTTCTCGGCGGGCATGTCAGGTAACTGCCCCCCTCCCTGGGCGGTTGCCCTGGGCACTAGCCCCTGCCCCCCAAGCTGTCTCTGGAGGAGGCAGCGATGATCTGAGGGGGGATTGACTTGTGTCCCTCAGGCTGAGAGACCCGAGTGCCCCTCGGAGGTCGCACGGCAGTGGCACTGGCAGGATGCTGCTGCCGTTCGGGGCACCCGAGGGGTCTTCCAGGGTGGCTGGTGGCTCCACCAGCTTTTCTTCAGCTGCTCACCTGACATCCACTGACCCGTGGCCATTTCCAAAACAGACTCTAGGGTGAGGGTTTGCTGGTACTGGGGCTCCTCAAAAGAACGCCCCAGTGGTTCTGAAGGCGTTGCCAAGGCAAGTTCCGGAAACCTTTGGAATGGGGCGGTGTCTGGAACAGAGTGAGCCTGGCTTTCCCAGAGGCCCCTCGGAGGGCGTTTGCTGCCCTGGTGGCTCGAGCACCCAGTGCCCGGGCTCTGTGAGGGGAGCCCTCCACCACTTGGGGGGGCGTCCCTGCTGCACTCTCCCCCACCCCCCAGCAGACAGACGGGTCTCCCTAAAGTCCCTCTGCCGCAACTACCTGTCACAACCCGTGGCTTCGGGCCACTCCCTTGATTGAAGCCCAGCTGTTTTTGTCCTCCTCTCAGCCATTTTTCCTGCAGACACGCTCCAGGGCCCCAGACGGCTGTCAGGGTTCAGCACAGCCCAGGCCTCATCCCACCCCAGCACCCCCCACCCCCACTGGGACGGGCTGACCTGGAGCTGGGCTGACAGGTGTCTGCGGGCGACTTGGCTATGTGACTGTTTGGGAACAGCAGGTGTTCTTGTAAATTGTGGGCCTCGGGGGGTAGGGGGGCTGATATTTTTTCAAAGTCCTCTTTATTATTTTTTTAAAAAAATAATATGCTTTAAGTCTTTGGAAAATGCATTGGATTAAGAGCACTTATACCTTAGGTGGTTTCCTTTTTCCTTTTTTAAACGTAATCACTCCATCTCTCAAAGAAATGTACCACAGTTGCCTTCCTTTTCCACATGAAAAGTGTCCCGCTTTTCCTCCTGGTTGCACAGGGCCGGGCCAGTGACCAGCGGGGTGAGGGACTGTGTCGTCTGTCTCAGGACGAGGGCTCCAGGTTGGCGTGTCCTTCTGTGGCCACTTCCGAGTGGCCAGTTCACGACAAAATGCAGACCGGGCCAAATGAATGAGTAGACAGACCCACCGAGCTGACGGAGAGACATTTCTTGTGCTGAGGCAAGCCGAGTGACTTCCACCGTGTCCATCTCCTGTCCCCAAAGCCGATCCCGTGTCCCCTGGGCATCGCCCAGGGAGCCACCGCGGCCTCGTTCTTCTCCCAAGCGCGCTTTCTGATGAGAAGCGCAACCTGATGGCGGCCCTTTGAACTGGACCGGTTGGTGGGGGCCTGGGGCTCCAGGCCCTTCCCAGCCCCCACTCCCAGTCTCTGGTCCCCTTTGCCCACCATGACGCCGGCTGCTGAGAGCAGTTGAGCAGGATTCTCCAGGACATGGGTGGAGGGGACAGGTCCTTCCCTCCATAGCTGCCCTGCTCTGGGGTTCTCAGGTGCACTTTGGTTTTTCTGTGCTAACATCTCTGGAGTCCGGTGTGTCTGCAGCCAGTGGCACCTTGCAGGCTGTGTCTACTGCAGCTAAAGTCAGGCTCTCACGCAGGGAGTGACATTGGATGGTGCCAGCCACCAGGGGCGCCTCCCTTCTCTGCCTGTGGTTCAGTCTCGGGAGCCCACTCCCTCTCTGCACCTCCTCTGCTCCCCCTCATACAGTGGGCTTATTTCTTGTTTCCGTTCCTCTGTGGACAGCGCCCTGGTGACCCTTACCATCTGGGACCTTTTTCCCTTGGTCAGGGGGGCAGGGGCTGTAAAAGAACAGTACCACCTAACACACAGAGGGGTCAGCCGGCTTTTTCTGCAAAAGGTCAGAGAGTGAGTATTTCTAGCTCCGTCGTGGTTATCTGATGCTGCCACTGAACTGTGAAAGCATTGTAGACACCATGTAAATGAATGGGCATGACTGTGTTCCAATAAAATTTTATTTATAAACGCAGGTTGGTGGGCCAGATGTGGCCTGCAGTCTGCAGGTCTCTCACCCAGAGCCTCTGAGGCTCGGTAAACGCCGTATTTCCCTGGGTGAACCTGCCGTGCACCCAGCCCTGGCGAGAGACCCGGTCAGCCACGCGTCTGGTCCTCGTGTACTTGCGTTTTAGTGGGCGAAACCGCACATCAGGAAAGAGGTGGTAAAAGGACTCGTTGTAGCACCAGACGAGAGGGTCCCGGGCCCCACTGCGTGAGGGGAGCTCCTTGGACAGGGCAGTCAGGTCTGGAGCTCTGAAGAGGTGACAAGCACCTGTAACTGTAACAGGTAAACCTGGTCCACCATCTGCAGCTCTGTGACGTGCCCCTCCCCCTCCCCCAGAGAGAGACATGAAGATTAAGCAAAGGACCTGAGGAAAATGTGGCCGTGGACCCTGGCCGCACCGTTGAGTTACTGGGTATCTGGAGATTAATCTTGTCATTCGCTCCTCTTATTTTGTAAGCTGGGGACAAAAAACCGATGTTCTTCTGGTTGGTCCCCTTCCCCCACAGGGAGACGTGACGGCTCCAGGGCTCCGTGTCGGGGACAGAGTGGGTGGGGCCCAGGGCATCCTGCTAGCAGCCTGTGAAGGCCTGGCCAGGCCACCGTTAGAGGAACTGGGCATCCTTCCGCTGCCCGAGGAAATGGCACTGAAGGTCACTCTGACCCCTTCCGCCTGTCTCGGCTTCCCGTAGTCTCCTTGGTCAGCAGCTCCCAGCGTCCTCACTCTCTCTGTCCCTGCTCCAGCCACACACAGGGAGGGTCTGGGCCAAGGGCTGTTCTCCCTGTCCTACATGAGTAGCCCTCTGGCCAGGGCCTGGGCAGGGTCAGCCAGGAGAGGAACAGGTCTTCCTCGAAATGGGCCACACTTTGGATTGATCTTCAAGCCACAAGGAGCTGTGGCATGGTCTGCCCAGCTCATCAGACACTGGACGGCCCTCTGAGCATACCTCTCCTCCCAGCTGTGGCACGGCTGGGCCCCTGCAGTGCACCCTGTGGCTCCAGCCGGCTTTCCAGCCTCCCTGGGCTTGTGTCTACTTGCTCTGGGTGGCCCTCCTACCCCTTGGCCTGCTCTGCCATTCTGCCTACTGACCTTGGGCACCCATAGGGTGGGTGGGAGGCGCCCTGAGCTCAGTGGGGCTGGGCCAGGCTGGGGTACGTGGAGAGGAAGTGGGCAGCACCTGCAGAAGGCTGGCGGTTCCAGCCTCTGGCCCGTGTGGCTTTTCATGCCCAAGGCTCACTCTCTTGGCCGTCAGTGCTTAGGAGCAGAGGTTGGGGAGCTGCTCGGCATACGTCCTGCAGGGTGCTTATTCTTTCCAGGCTCCTTCCCGGGACCGTCTCTCGTGCCCCTGGTCTGGACCGGCTCTGGTCGGAGTGGCGGGAGGACTGCTGGGCACGCCAGGGCGGCCAGGGGCCTGTGTACCTCGCTAGCGGGAAGGACGCCAGGTACATCTCAGCGCCTGCCTGCTCGGCCTCTGCCCCGACCGCTTCCTCGTGTGTGACTGTCAAGTCGCCATGGTGTGGGAGCCCATGGGAGCTGGCGGCAGCCAGGGAAGGTGGCCTTCAGCCTGGGCCCTGGTACCCGATGCAGCTTGGCCTTCCATCCTGCGTTCAGGGCCTGGATCCCTGCAATAAGCCAGGTGTCCCGGGGCACTGAGGCCAGATGGCGGCTCGTGGCCCTGGCCATGCTTGGAGGTTCCCAGCGTGGCGATAGGCAGCTTTTTCCGGAACCGGCCCGGGGCTCGTGGTTGTGAGGTTCTAGGATTCATGGGCCGCTCTTCCAGGTGCTCGAGAACATCCTCCTGACGGGCCAGCCGACCTTCCCTTCCTGGGGGACAAATAGAGAACCGGCCTCGCCACGCTCATCAGCCTGCCTGTCTCGGTGGAACTGATGGACAGGGATAAGGCGGGCATTGCCGTGGGCTGTGGCAGCTTCCAAAGCCAAACGGGGTGCCTTCTTGGGTATTTCCTGCAGAAGTCTACCTTCTGAGTTCCCATTTTCTCCTGAATAGTTGGAAAACAGCAGAACTCTTCATGTTTGGAACGTTCCCGCGCCGACGGCAGCCTGGCTGTTCCTCAGGTGCCGCCCGGAAAAGGAGCTCCTTGGGCAGACCCTGGCGGGGGCCGGGGAGGCCGTGCGAAGCGGCGTTCCTGGGCCTCTTCATCCGGGCCTTCAGTATTCACACGTGCGGCGTTTCCTGCTCACAGAGCCACACGCCCCGGCCCCCTTCCCGACGCCGGGTCTGGAAGACACACGGCACTTTGGGGAGGGGCCTTAGGTGTTGGGGCCGGATCTGACCCAGTGTGGTGGTAGCCTTGGTGGGCTCTAATGAGCCAGTCATTTCCATTACATGTGGGAAGAAGATTCGAGACAGGAGCCCCGAATGGGCGTGTGTCTGTCTGTGGGGTAGTGTCTCCTCGGGGTTGGGGGTGCCCAGCTCTCTGGAGCCCCAGGTGGTTGCTGCTGGACACTCAGACTGAAGGCTCTTGCGGCCATTGTCACTGGTGGCTGGGGTGGTGCTGCCCCCTGGTGTCCGGCAGTGGAGTCACCATCCCTTTCAGCTACTAACCGGCTTCCCCCTGTGTTTGCCTTTTCAGACCGTGAGTCCATCTTCTTCAACAGCCACAATGTGTCCAAGCCGGAGTCGTCATCAGTCCTGACCGAGGTATGCCCCTCCTGCTGTGGGCATGCGCTGGCTGTGGGTCCCAGGGCGGGGCTCTCCAATGGAGCTGGGTGGTTGGGACCCAAGGAGGTTGCGAAGGCCCTTCTTGCTTCCGGCCTTCGTACTATTGACTTTCATACTGTGCCTGCACACCAGGGTTACTGCAGGTGGAGATTTTCTGACTCTTCTCCCTGCGTGAGGGAATCCCCCCAGGCAGGAGGCATTTGGTGGAAGGGGGGGGGCACTGCCATCTCCTTTTGTCCATGGGAGTCCCGTGAGTGTGAGGAGCCCGCTGTTCCGTGGGTGCTGGGCTGGCTCCCGGCAGTGGTGGTCAGGCCGGTGGTCAGAGGATGTTGCCCTCTTGGATGCCCTGTGTTGTTGCAGCCAGGCCCTGACCTGGCCTCAAAGAGGCGGGCGGCAGGCAGGGCCACCCTGCTTTCCTAAGGGTGGAGGCTGAGCCCAGCGAGGCTGGACGGCCTCACCAAGCTCACAGGGCTGTTGACCCCGGGCAGAGCTGGACTGGACCCTGATCGGTCCGATTCCGAAGCTGGGCCTTCCAGAAGTTTAGGACTTTTTATCTTACTGTAGACTGTGAAGCAGACATTTAGAAGTTGCCACAGGGCCACCCCCCCAGGTCTCCTCCCCCGAGTCCCAGCCGTCCTGGCCGTTCTGGGAGGATTCGCCTGTGTGCCCTTCGCTGTCCTGGGCTGGCCCACCAGGGAGGCCCAGCATACACTGGGCCTCGGACCCCGGGCCCTCCCGTTCCATGTCAGGGCCTGAGTTCACCTTATACCTCCAGCCCAGGCCACCGGTCCCTTTCCCGTGTGTTTCCACTTCCTCTGAGGAGCCAGCTGTGTGCTGAGGGTTTGACAGAGCACAGGTGTGGGCAGGGACCTGGGGGGAGCACGAGCGTCCTTCGAGGTGGTGACAGACACTTCTCAGGAGTGAGTTTCCCAGTCAGGGAAGCCTGGGGGAGAGAGAAGCAGGTGTTGCCCTCGGTGCCTGGGTGTGCGCATTCCAGGATGTCAGTAGTCCAGGCAGGGAGGTGGTTTTTTAAAGGGTTTTCTGGCCTCCTAAGCTTCAGATGCTTAGGCGAGCCCAGTTCCACAGGGCTCTTCCCTGAGCTGCTGTCAGACATTGCTCAGCCAGGGCGGAGGGCAGAGGGCAGTCAGTGCTCCGCAGACCTCGGAAAGGGCTGGGGCTGTGACCTAAGGCCAGAGGGTCCCTGTGAGGGCCACAAGCAGAGTGACCCGCCCAAAATGACCGTGAATAGTCACCTGTCTCCCACTCAGCCTGTCTCTTCACCTGTAAAACGGGAGTCAGCCTGCAGGTATTCCGGGGCCTGTCTGCCCGTCTCCCCCATCACAACTCCTGGCTGCTGTTCAGGAACCCCCAGGACTGAAAAGGGAAATGCAGCTGGCTGTCCCTTTTCCATTGAGGACGCAAGTCTCACCAACACCCCTGCAGGCCGGCCAGGCACAGGGAGCTCCATTCTCGACATGCCCCTTATCCTCCTGCCCCTGGGGCACTGGGCGGGCCAGCTCCTCACCCACTTTTATCTCTCCTGGGCACCTCTGCTGCCCCCTCACAGCCGTGGGCTCCCTGCAAACCTCAGCAGCTGTCTGCTGAGCACCCCACTCTCTCGGCACTGGGGTTGGGGGGCCCTCCATCCCTTTTCCGTCTCCTGCAGGGAGCAGGACCTCCTCCTGGGTCCTACCCCCCGGGAGGGACCCAGGTCCCACACCCAGCTTGCAGGTCCCAAATACCAGTGTAGGGTGTTGGCTAAGGGTGTGTGTGCTGGGGACCGACCCCAGCTCCACTGTGCCGAGGCTGTGTGTTCTCTCCGAGCCTCGGTGTCTCCATCCTGCCCCGCAGGGTGGCTCTGGGCCCAGGGAGCTCCCGGCACAGTGCCAGGTGTGTGGCGTAGCCGGGACAGGTGAGCCACCTGGTGCTGCTCACTTCCACCATCACAGACCTACTTTCCAGAACATCTCCTTGCTGATTCTGCCCACAGGCAGGATTCCCAGGCCATTGTCTTGCCCTAGGTGGGTTTGATTTCAGATAAAGGAAGGGCTTCCTAAGGATTTCTGAGATCCCTTAGCTAAGCTGAGAAAGTACTTTTATAAACAGTGTGTCACGAGACTTCGTACTGATGCCGCAGCCAGACCCCCACTGCTGCTGGGCCTGGGCTGTGAGCCTTAGACATCAGCTTCCTGGACCCTCGCCACAGTCCCACAGTCTCACAGTCCCACAGTCCCACAGTCCCACAGTGTAGGTTTCTGTGTCACCCCACTTACTGGGGTGGGAAAACAAGACCCAGGAGGGTCGCCGACAGCTCAGGGCCCACAGCGGGCAGGACCAGTGGCCAAGCTGCTGTGTGGGCCCAGCCTCTGGCTCCTCACCGGCGAGAGGGACGGGCAGGGTGGGCAGGTGCTGAGTGATGGGCACCTGCCACAGCCCATGAGAGTGTTTCCCTTGTAACATGCCAAGACAGCAGGATTGGGGCACAGAGTCCCACCTTTGTGCGGAGCCAGCGGGGGAGGGGGGTCACGCTTAAGCACAGCCGCTGCCTGAGTGCGGAGTCCCAGCTCGGCACAGGTTTGGCAGCTCCCCCTTCGCCACTGCAGCGTCCTGTGCTGGGATAAGGACCCTTTGTCCTTGGTGCCCAGGGCTCTGTCTCCAGCCCTCCTGACCCAGCCTCCCTTTTTTTCCCAAGATTTTATTTATTTATTTGTAGAGAGAGGAGAAGGGGGGGAGAAAGAGGGAGAGAAATGTGATGTGTGAGAAAAACATCCATCAGTTGCTTCTTGCATGTCCCCAATGGGAGACCTGGCTTGAAACCCAGGTGTGTGCCCTGACTGGGAATTGAACCGGTGACCTTCGATTTGCAGGATGACACCCAGTCCACTGAGCCACCCCAGCCACAGCCAGCCTCGCTTTTTTTAAAGTGGACAAGTCAGTGGCATTAGGTACATTTGCTGTATTGTGCAGTCACTCCCTCTGTCTAGTCCCCGAACATTTTGGCCACTTTGATAGGAGCCCCGTCCCCATTTAGCATCCCTCCCCCCTCCCCCCAGCCCCTTGAACCACCACCAGCTCTGTGCCTCCGTGGATTCACCTCTTTGGCCCGTCACGTCGAGGGAATTGTCCGATGCGCGTGCTGTCGCGCCTGGCCTTTTCGCTCAGCCTTGTGTTTCCGAGACTCATCCACGCTGCGACAGCGCGTGACACTCCTCTGTGTGGGTGACGCCGTCTGTTCCGCTGGCCCTCTGTCGATGGCACTCCATTGGTTCCTGCCCTTCGACTCTGTGCGGAGTGGCCCTGTGAGCACCGGCACACCAACGCCTGCCTTCTTTCGGCCCTTTTGGGCTCGCGCCCAGGAGTGGGGCTGCTGGGTCACGCAGTGACTCTGTGTTTAACGTTTGACCCAGCCTCACTTTCGTTTCTGAGAGTTCGGTGCCCCTCCTTCCCCTTTGGCCCCCGGGCTCACAGTCCTCCGGAGCCCAGCATTCTTTGAGTGGCCCCTGTGAGCTCTGTTCTGGCCAACCGGGAGGCGACACGGAGCTGTCCCTGCTGTAGAGTTTGGGATATACACCGTCCTACCACATCAGGGGCCTCCAGGCTGCTCCTGATGGTCTGGAGTGGGAGCCATTGGGCCCGTTGGGCAGATGGACAGACAGAGGCCCCAAGCGGCCCAGCCCTTTCCCTAAGACCGAAGCACAGGAAGTCCCTGTTGGGCTTGGACCCAGGCCCCCGCCTTGGACCTGCTCGGAGGCCCTGGTTGTGGGGGCGTGCCGAGCCCAGGAGGCCTCGTGTGCCTGCCCCCAGCCAGCTGTAACTGGGACAGAAAGGGAGCAGCGGTGGTGCTGGGACAGGGGACAGCCCACTGGCCCCGAGGAAGCTTTGCTGGAAGTGAACTTGGACCCAGGCGTCTGGTGGGAGCAGCGCAGTAGCCCCTTTGGGGAAGTCCATTCAGATGGGATGCGAGTTAGTGTGAAAACACCGAATTGAGCGGCTGTTGTGAAGGGGAAGTTGGCGAGCCCCACCCAGGAGCCCTGTGCTCTCCCCCACCCAGGACTGGGCTGGTCCACAGAGCCCTGCACCCTCCTGTCTGAAAGTTCCCCCGAGCCCCACCTCTGCCCTGACTCCCAGCCACGCCCAGCTCTCCCACGGGTTCTGGTCTCTGTGCCGTGCCTGATGCCTCTCTCCTCCCCCAACCTCCCCACCATGGAGGTCCTGTTCATGCTGTGCGCTCCACGAAGGCTTCCTGAGTCCACAGCAGACTGTCTCCTTCTTTCTGCTCAGACGGTTGGGTTTTAGAGGCTGACAAACCCAGGCAAAACCCAGCCCCGGACGCGTGTGCCGTGTGGCCCTGCCCTTTCTGAGCATCAGCTTCCCAGTGTGTAAAGTGCTGGTGAGGACACCCCCTCCTCAGTCGTTACAAGGACTGGACGGGCAACGGGCACCAGACACTTAGGGCCTGCGCAGTCGGCAGGACCTCGGACGTGGCCCTGCTGGTGCTGCCGGGGGGCCCGTCCTGCCTCCTCGGCTGAGGTCTGTGCGAGGCGACCCCCCTCCCGGGGCCTGACTCCTGTGTGTGCTGTGTCGGCAGCTGGACAAGATCGAGGGCGTGTTCGAGCGGCCGAGTGACGAGGTCATCCGGGAGCTCTCCCGCGCCCTGCGGCAGGCGCTGGGCGTGTCGCTGTTCGGGATCGACATCATCATCAACAACCAGACGGGGCAGCACGCCGTCATCGACGTCAACGCCTTCCCAGGTGAGCGGCAGGGACTGGTGTCGCGGCGGCCCCCAGTGAGCCCCAGCCCTACCTGCTGATGGGGCCGCAGAGTCGGGCGTGTACACCCAGCCAGGGAGTGCGTAGAGGGCCCGCACAAACGCACGTTCTCACCCTCCTCTCCTGTGTGTCAGCGTTAGCCCCACGGGCCCAGTCTCAGCCGATGCCGTGGGCCAGGTAGACTTGGAGAGTTGAAAGGACGCTGCAGGGAGGACAAGCCTGGCAGGTCACACGTGGGGCACTGAGCCCCCAGAGAGTGCTCCCTGGGGCTGGGGCGCATGCCCTGCTGGCTGCAGGAGCCCTGGGGGCCGCAGGGGGACACACGGGCTGGGCCCTCGTGGCCTCTGAGTGCCTGTCAGGTCTCACCTCTCCAGGCCGGCCCTGAGAGCCTTACCACAGCGCCTTGTTTACCGATCGGGACACGGAGGCCGGGGGCTGAGCGACTTGTCCAAAGTCACCTGGCAACCAAGTCATCCTGCACTCCTGACCAGAAGGCTTCCTGCCTCTCAGCTCCTCTGGGGCTGTCTCCCGCGTTCCCATCTGGCAGGGACAGGAGATGGCGTTTGCACAGCCCGGCCTGAGCTGGGGCCCCACGGTGCTGGTTCGCCTCTCAGCTGGAGAGCTGTGGGGCCTTCCCCGCCTCCTGTCCACCCTCGGGCCCTGTCCCCTACCTGGAAGTGCACAGTCCCACCCTGGGCTTCCAGGCCTCATCTGGGGACAGCTGAGCAGTTGCTGAGGGTACAGCTCCTGTTGTCTGGTGTTGGCCCGGCGTGGCTCCAGCTCACCTCCCCTGCTTGTGTCCCTTCCCTGGAAACCCAGTAGCGCACCTGCTGGTGGCTCCCAAGGGGCCTAGGTCCGCCCTGCCCTTCTCCCCCGAGCCCCAGGGCTGAAAGAAGCCCAGGCCTGGGGTGGATGCCCAGCACCATGTGGTACTCAAGGCACAGGGCAACCAAAGGGCCTGGCTCAGATGCTGGCTCTGCCTCTTAGGGGCGCTGTGTCCTCCTCTGTAAAGCAGGGTGACCCTGGGCCCCCGGTGGCTCTTTGACCTGGACGAACACTGGGCCAGCACATCCTCACCAGCTTCACCAGCCTCACCCTCATGGTGAACTGTTGCACGTCCACCTCTCCATGGTGCTCTCCTCCTTTGGGGCTGGTCACTTACCTCTCCAAATTGTGCAGGTTAAGCACGGGGATGTTCTGCCCACAGGGGCACTGGGCGGGCCAGCTCCTCATCCACTTTTATCTCTCCTGGGCACCTCTGCTGCCCCCTCACAGCCGCGGGCTCCCTGCAAACCTCAGCAGCTGTCTGCTGAGCACCCCACTCTCTCGGCACTGGGCAGGCTGTTCTGTGGAAGTTCATGCACCCTGCCTGTTCCCGCACTTGCGCGCTCACTGTGGCGGTGGGCTCGCAGCCGTGTGGGCCATGCCCGGGGCCCCTCTGAGCGGGCACACTGGACTTCAGGGATGTGCCTCCCGTCCTGACCCTTGTTCTTGCAGCCGTGTGCCTGGTTCTTACCCTGCCAAATGGGCTTAGGAAGGTGGGGGCACCCACCCTGTGTCGTATGTCTTGCAAAGCAGTTTCTGGGAGTCAACAAAATCTTGCCCCAGAGTCTCATTCTGCTCCGGGGTGGCTCCCAAGGACTCACGTGCTGACATGGACCCTCACATCTGCGTGGGGACGGCAGACCCAGTGGTTTCTGCTCAGGAGACCGGGACCCCACAATGTTAGGTGTCAGTTGGGGTGCTCAATCTTTGCCCCTGGGCCCGGAGGTTCAGAGCGTATGGCACATGCAGTAGTCCGTAGATACTTGCCGGGTGAGGACTCAATTCTGGGAGCAGCAGCCATGGACCAGGCGCTGCCCTCCCCTCAGCTGTGCCCACGGGAGCTTCCCCGGGAGTCCTCAGCCGACACGTGAGGTTAGCTGAGGCCGGGCCGCATGGTGGGGAGGGGTGTTCGCGGTTCAGAGCGCTGCGGGGAGTGGGCCTCCGGGCTGCGCCACGTGACTGCATGAGCTTCTGAAGCTGTGCCCAGGAAGGCGTCTTCTCATCAGCTCCAGTTCTGCCGTGTCTCTCACTCTGGGGCAGTGAATTCAAGGACCAGCCCTCTGGGGCCGAGCACACCTGGCTCTGAGTCAGGCTGTGCAACTCCGATCGGCCTCTCCCCCCACCCCCCAGGCCTGCAGCCTGCCCCTGCTCCCTGGGGCTGAGTGCTGTCTGTCTCTCCCACCCCCAGGCTATGAGGGCGTGAGCGAGTTCTTCACGGACCTCCTGAACCACATCGCCACCGTCCTGCAGGGCCAGAGCGCAGCCACCGCAGCCATGGGGGACGCGGCCCCACTGAGGCACAGCAGGCTCCTGGCAGAGCAGGCAGACAGCCTGGCGGGCGAGCGGACATGCAGCGCCGGCCCCGGCTGCTGCAGCAGCTTGGTGGGCCAGGACCCGGGCAGCACGGCCAAGCTGCCGCCCCAGAGACTGGGCTGCACCGCCGCCGTGTCGCCCAGCTTCCAGCAGCATTGCGTGGCCTCCCTGGCCACCAAGGCCTCCTCCCAGTAGCCGCGGAGCCCAGGACCCAGAGGGCGGCGTGGGCCACAGCACGGCCACTGGGCAAGCAACAGCCAGTGGTGACATCTGACTAAGAATTCCCAACGGTCTGATTTTTCTTTTAGCCTGATTTTCTGATGTCGTTACCTGAATGAGGAATTGGGGGGCGATGGAAGAGAACCCCAGTCGGTGGTCCAGCCTCGGGGAGAAGGGACCTCCTGCCCCATTCCTGCCCTGCAGATCTCTCACTGAGTTTACACATGCTTGTGTTTTCAACACTAGGTCTGAGTGTGAGGAGGGGCGTGTGTGCGTGTGGTTGCAGTGCGTGTGGTTGTCGTACGTGTGTGAGTGTGTATACACATCCGTGTCTTGGTCTTGATGGCTGCTGCGGACCAGGCCCAGGGGACCTGGAGGGGTCACCCTTGGTTAGGCTGCTGGCACTGAACAGAGCAAGTGGACGGTCCCCCTCTTCTGTCTTTTGTCCCAGGCCCACCCGCCTGACCGCCCCTGCGCAGGCTCCCCCTCTGCTGGCCACCTTCCCAGCCTTGGGAAGAGTGGGGCCAGAGGCCCCACCGGGTGTGCGGCTGCCCTTCCCAGAAGCAGGAGCCCAGGCTGGAGAGGCTGTGGCCTCCCTGTCCTTGGGGGGCCCCATGCAGGGGGGTCTGGGCTGCTGCCGCCTGGTCCCTCCCAAGAAGGGAAGGGGAAGGAAGCTTCCCCTGGAGGCCAAGGCCCCGGGTTCACTGCCTCTCTCCACGTCCAGCCCAGCTCCCTCGCCACGCATCCCACGCAGCCCCGAGAGGGGGCCTCCTCCCGTGACCAAGCACTGCGGCTCTTTGGCACGCGGAGAGGGCCACCTGGCTGGGGGGCCCCGGGCTGATCCCGCCCGTGCCAAGGGTTTGTGCCGTGACCGTGGGCAAGTCGTTCTGAGAGTCGCCGGGCCTTCATGTCCTCCGTTGAGACCAGAGCTCTGAAGGGTGGGCCTGACGCCCCCGCCCCTGCAGTGCAGCCTGCTTTCCCCAGAAGCCAGCCAGGATGAGCCTCCCCTTGAGATCGAGGTGACTGGGGCCCACTTTCCAGGTAGGAAGTGGCCGCCGTTCTCGTCAGTCCTGCTCACACCTGCCTGTTTCACCCTTGCCCATGGGCCCGATATCCCTTCCCGTACTCACTACAAGCCCCAAGCACTGAGCCAGCCAGGGGTGAAGGAGCGGCAGCCCTCGGGGTGAGAAAACAGTGTGCTTCTCCCCACTTAGAGTCACCCCAGCTTCTGGTGGCAGCAGGCAGAACACCAGCTGGCTGTCGTAACCATGGTCCAGGCAAACCGGAGGCCCTTCTGAGGAAGGGCCAGTGCGAGGCCCTGCTATCCTAGGACAGTGAACGCTGGGGACCATGTCTAGGGCCCCTGAGTGCGCCGTGGTGTCTTAGATACCGGTGGACTTCCAGACGGAGGGAAAGGCCTCCAGGCTCTGCTTCGTGGTCTGGGGAGGCTGTGGGGCCGGGCCCTGTGGGGATGGGGCTGCTGGATTTGGGCTTGGGGTGGGGGTGGGGGCCATCAGAACCACCTGGCCAACCCAGACACCGAGGGCCCGCTTTTTACACGACTCGAGTGTGGAACCCCGATTATAATGTCTGTACGTCACCTTTCCTCAGTCGGGGAAGCAGGAAAGCGTGACCAGCCTCTTGCACTGCTTGTCTCCAAAATAAACTACTGAAATCAAACTGCAGTTCACCTGTGTGTACACAGTGTTTCTAAAAGTTTGTCATTCTCCAGTCTTCTAATAAAATGGCTCTGCCTTTTCGAGTAAAACGCCAATCCCAGATGGATTCGATCAGGTGGGGAATGTGGTGGGACCCCTGGCCGTGTCGTGTTCCTGTACAATCTGGGTCACCTTCGGTGTTACTCACCCCAGGTAGCAAGTCACTTTTCCCGTGACGTGGCCTCAACCGGAACATGGTGATGGATTTTTCTGAGAGTGGAAATGGAGGGGGCGGTTCAGCTTTGTAAAGGCAGAGGGGCCGCCAGGCGCGTGCAGGTCACCCCTGCCCCCCACAGCTGCCCTGTGCAGCAAACAGTGGCCATAGTGCAGGGGAGGGACTGAGCAGCGATGACAGCTACTCCCCCACCCCATGCCACCCAGGTGCACGCTAACACAATCCAGAGTGGCTTCCCCTTCGGCTTCATTGTCACCAGCCTCTACCAGTTGGTGAGCGCATTGGCATCTGGTCCTGCAGCATCCAGTGGCGATCAGCAGGGCCACATTTTGGCTGGGGCCTTGGGTAGGTTCAGGGGGTCATGTGCCAGGTCCCTGGCCTGGGTCGCCTGGGGCAGAGGCCCCTGGCCGAGTTCTGCTTGCAGATGAAACAGAATGATGTGGTTCCATGACAGTCCCCACTGGCTGCCAGCGCTGGCTGGCCATCCGCACCTGGGGAGGGGGTGGTCCTTGCTGTTGGTGTCTGCGCAAGGCTGACCCTGTGCAAGTCCCTGAGGAGTCAGCAAAGGCACCTTGCATTGGGCCTGCCTGCATCTTTGATCCTGTCGTTGAAAGAGAGAACCTTGAAAAAGTCCTCTTTGCCCAGAGGACCAGGCTCTATGGAAGATGGGAGAACCTTGGCAGCAAGCTATAATTTTCAAGCCACCTGGGAAAAGCAGCTGTTACCTGTCCTTGTCCCAGCCAGGGAGCCCTCAGCTCTGGCATGCGCCCTGGCCGCTGCCCCAAGAGCCACTGCGTGGCTTCACTTGTGTCCCTGGGGTTTGCATCTGCTCTCTCCTCTGTCCCCTAGCAACTGACCCTTGGCCTGGTGAGATCCCTGCTTGGGGCATGGCTCAAGGGCTCAGAACTGCAGAGGACTTGGGCTGAGAGCAGACTGTCCTGCAGGAGCCCTGCCCCCTGCACCTCGGCACCACCAGGCTGAGGAGGGCATCATCAGTCCTTGACAAAAGATCTGGGCTTCTCCCTCCTTGGTCACGTGGCCACACCCTGCCTCTGACTCTAAGACGATGGGGCCTTCAGGCAGGCAGTTCTCACGTGGGTCCTCCCCTCCATGACCACGGGCCCTGCCTTTGTCCATTCTCTGCACAGCATCTCCATTAAGATCCTGGAACACCCCCAGACACGCTCGCGTGTGAGCATACACGCTGTTCACACAAGAGCTGACTCTTGGAACAACCTGAGCCCTCATCCTGACCATTGGGCCCCACCAGACCACCGGGGGCTTTTTCCAGGAATGGTGGCATTTTCGCTGTACCTCCAGAGTTGTCCACAACCTACCTGGTGGCTTAGAGGGAGTGTCCCTTTGCCACAGCCTGACTTCTTCCAGGGGTCAGGCCCCCCGAAGCTTGCTTGTTCTCAGAAGGCTGCATGCATAGTGGTTTCCCTCCACTTTGGCAGTTCTGGTTTCCATGCAGACGCCTGTGTGTCGTGACATGCTGCTTGCTGCCTCCCCGCTCACAAGCAGCGCTGACCAGACAATCTGTGTACATGCATGTATGTCTTTATATGAATAGACTACAGATGAATGCACCTCTTCTTCACAAACCAAGAGCCTTTGACCACTGGCTCTTTTTAAATCTAATCTGATTGTATTTTTGTCCGTTACCATTTAGTCCCCTTCTACCCTCCTCTGCCCAGCAGTCACCACGCTGCTGTCCGTGTCCACGAGTCCTTTTTCCTTCTTTGCTCAATCCATCCACCCCTAACCTTCCTCCCACAATAGCCATCATCTCATCTCCATCTACGAGTCTGTCTCTGTTTTGCTTGTTAGTTCAGTTTGTTCATCAGATACCACATATGAGTAGGATCATGTGGTATTTGTCTTTCTCTGACTGGCTTGCTTCACTTAGCATAATGTTTTCTAGTCCATCCATGCTGTTGCAAAGGGTAAAATTTTTTTTTATGGCCAAGTAGAATTCCATTGTGTAAATATACCACAGTTGTTGTTTTTTTTTAATCCACTCACCTACTGGTGGACACTTGGGCTGCTTCCGTATCTTGGCAATTGTGAGTAACACTGCAATGAACATAGAGGTGATTATGTTCTTTTGAATTAGTGTTTTGGGTTCCTTTGGATATATTCCCAGAAGTGGGATCCCTGGGTCAAAAGGCAGACCCATTTTTCATTTTTTGCAGTACCTCCACACTGCTCTCCACAGTGGTCGCACCAGTCTGCACTCCCACCAACAGTGCAAAAGTATCCCCCTTTCTCCACGTCCTCGCCAGCACTTGTTGTTTGTTAGTTTATTCACGATAGCCATTCTGACCTGCGTAAGATGGAATCACTGTGGTTTTAATTTGTATTTCTCTGATGATTAGTGACATTGAGCATTTTTTCATATGTCTATTGACCATCTGTATGTCCTCTCTGGAGAAGTGTCTGTTCAGGTCCTTTGCCCATTTTTTAATTGTGTTGTTTGTTTTGATGGTATTGAGTTTTGTAAGTACTTTATAAATTTTGGATATTAACCCCTCATCAGATGTATCAGCGAATATGTTCTCCCATTCTGTGGGTTGTCTTTTTATTTTGTTGATGTTTTCCTTTGCTGTGCAGAAGCTTGTTGGTTTCATGTAGTCCCATTGGTTTATTTTTTCTTTTGTTTTCCTTGTCTGGGGAGGTACATCTGATAAAACGATTTCTATGAGCAATATTTGCCTATGTTTCTTCTAGGATTTTTATGGTTTTAGGGTCTAACAGTTATGTCTTTGATCCATTTTGAATTTATTCTTGTGTGTGGTATGAGAACGTGGTCTACTTTCACTTTTCTGCATGTATCTGTCCAATTTTCTCAATACCACTTACTGAATAAACCACTTTAGCCCATTGTATACGCTTGCTTTCTCTGTCGAATATTAATTGGCTATAAAGGTAGGGGTTTATTTCTGGGCTCTCCATTCCATTCCATTGATTGATGTGTGTTTTTATGACAGCACCAAGCTGTTTTGGTCACTGTGGCCTTGTAGGACAGTTTGATATTAGGTAGCGTGATTCCTCCAACTTTGCTCTTTCTCAGGATCACTCTTGCTATGTGGGGCCTTTTGTTCCATAGAAATCTTTGAAATATTTGTTCTAGTTCTGTGAAATACGTCGTTGAAATCTTGATAGGAATTGCATCGAATCTGTAGATTGCTTTGGGTAGTATGGACATTTTAATGATGTTAATTCTTCCTATCCATAAACACTGTATGTGCTTCCACTTATTTGTATCTTCTTCAATTTCTTCATTGTCTTATAGTTTTTTGAGTACAGGTCTTTTACATCCTTGGTTAGGTTCATGCCTAGGTATTTCATTATTTTTGAAGCAATTGTGAATGGGATTGTTTCTTAATTTCCCTTTCTGTTAGTTCATTATTAGCATATAAAAATGCAACTGATTTCTGAATATTAATTTAGTATCCTGCTACTTTGGTGAATTCATTTATCAGTTCTGGTAGTTTTGGGGTGGAATATTTGGGTTTCTCCATGTACAGCATCATGTCATCTGCAAATAAAAGACAGTTTTACTTCTTCCTTTCCAATTTGAATGCTTTTTATTCTTCTTGTCTGATTGCTGTGGCTAGGACTTCCAGTAGCTGTTAAGTAAGAGAGGTGAAAGTGGGCATTCCTGTCTTGTTCCTGATCTTAAGGGCAATGCTTTTAGTTTGGGCTGTTGAATATGACTCTGTCAGTGGGTTTGTTATATACAGCCTTTTTTATGTTTAAGTATGTTCTTCCTATTTCCACTTTGTTGATTTTATCAAAAGTCTTTTCTGTATATATTGATATAATCAAATGGTTTTTATCCTTCATTTTGTTTATGTGGTGAATTATATTTATTTGCAAATGTTGCACCAACCTTGCATTCCTGGAATAAATCTCACTTGATCATGGCGTATGATCTTTTGGATGCATTGCTGTATTTGGTTTGCTAATATTTTGTTGAAGATTTTAGCATCTATGTTCATCAGGGATATTGGCCTATAATGTTCTTTCTATGTAATGTCGTTATCTGATTTTTGGAATTAGGATAATGCTGGCCTTGTAAAATGAGTTGGAGAGCCTTCCTTTCCCTTGAATGTAATGAAATAGTTTGAGAAAGAGGGGGTGTTAGTTCTCAGAATATTTGGTAAAATTCACCCGTGAAGCCACCTGGTCCAAGGCTTTTGTTTGTTGGTAGGTTTTTGATTACTGCTTCAGTTTCATTATGTGTAATCTGTCTAATCAGATTTTCTGATTGTTCATGACATTTTTGGAAGATTTTCTGTTTCTAGGAATTTATTCATTTGATCCAGGTTGTCCAGGTTGTTGGCATATAACTGTTCATAATATTTTCTTACAGCCCTTTGTATTTCTTTGGTGTCAGTTATTATTTCTCTTCTTTCCTTTCTTATGTCATTTATTTGGGTTATTTCTCTTTTTCTCCTGATGAGTCCAGTTAAAGATTTGTCAATCTTGCTTATCTTTTTAAAGAACCAGCTCTTGGATTTGTTGATCTTTTATATCACTTTTTAAGGCTCTATTTCATTTATATCTGCTCTGATCTTTATTATGTCCTTCCTTTTACTCACTTTGGACTTTGTTTTTCTTTTTTAAGTTAAGTGTGAAGTTAGATTGTTCATTTGAGCTTTTTCTTGTTTTTTGAGATAGGCCTGTAATGCTATGAATTTCCCTCTTTGGACTGCTTTGCCAATGTCCCACAGATCTGAGATTATTGTGTCCTCATTTTCATATGTTTCAAGATATCTTTTGATTTCTTCCTCGATCTTATTGTTGACCCAGTCATTATTTAATATGTTATTTAGCTTCCATGTCTTTGCGTATTTTTCATTGTTCTTCTTGTGATTGATTTCTAGTTTCATAGTGTTGTGGTAAAAGAAGGTCCTTGATATGATTTCTGTCTTCTTAAATTTATTGAGAATTGTTTTGTGTCCCAACTTGTGGTCTATGCTAGAAAACATTCCATGTGCACTTGAAAAGTATGTGTATTCTGCTGCTTTGGCGTGAAACGCTCTGCAGATATCAATTAAATCCATTTGATCTAGTGTGTTGTTGAAGGCTGCTGTGTCCTTGTTGATTTTCTGCCTGGAAGATCTATCCATTGAAGTCGATCCCCAGCTATGACTATGTTTGTGTCGATCTCTCCCTTGTGTCTTTATGTCCATCAAGGTTTGCTTTACATATCTGGGTGCGCCTATGTTGGGTGCGTAAATGTTTACTAAGGTTACATCCTCTTGTTGGATTGTTCCCTTTAGCATTATGTAGTGGTCTTCTCTGTCTCTCACTATAGACTTGGTTTTAAAGTCTATCTTGTCAGATCTAAGTACTGTTACCCACCTTTTCCTTTTCCATTTGTATGCAATACCTTTTTCCAACCCTTTACTTTTAGTCTGTGTGTATCTTTTGATCTGAGATGGGTCTCTTGGAGGCAGCATATATATGGGTCTTGTTTTCTTACCCATTGAGCTACCCTATGTCTTTCTGTTGGAGCGTTTAAGCTGTTTACATTTAAGGTGATTATTGACAGATATGTATGTAGTGTCATTTTATTGTTAGACTGTTTTCCTCTTTTTTAAAATTTCTTTTTAAAGTAAGCCCTTCAACATGTGTTGCAGTGTTGTCAACTGCGCTGTAGTTTTGATGTTAGCAAAAGCCTTTAGCTTTTTCTTGTCTGGGAAGCTCCTTATTTATCCTTCAGTTTTAAATGATAGCCTTGCTGGGTAAAGTAGCCTTGGTTGTAGGTCCTTGCTTCTCATCAACTTGAAAATTCCACACCACTCCCTTCTGGCTGGAATGTTTCTGCTGGGTAATCAGATGCACTGGCTCTTTTGAATCCGATGCATGTCTTCCACGGGATTGGGATTGTGGCAGCACAGGTGGCCATCTTAGGGATGGGTTGTGTCCAGGACAAGGGGATCCACTGGCTAACTAGACTTGGCAGTGAACATTTGGTACCTGACCGATGAGTGGAAAGTGGCGTTGTGCCTGTTCCTGTCACTGTTGGGGATGGGGGCAAACCCGTCTCTTTGAGACGTGAAGAAATAAACACCTAAATCATGAGCTGCTCAGAGGCTGTCCCCTGTGCTGGAGAGGACGGGTGTCAGCAGCAACAGGCATCATCACCCTGCGACTTGCTGAGACCCCCCTCAAATGACTTGTGTTGTCATCATAACAGTTTTCTGCTCTGGCTTGTCTGGGCCTCTCGAATCCTCACCACGATCTGGCGAGGAGATAGTGAGTATTAACCCCACTTCGGAGCGGAGGAAACTGAGGCTCCAAGAGAGCCAGGAACGCTTGCCAGGTTCCCCAGCTGGGCTGGGGGTGCCAGCCCCAGTCTGTCAAACCCCACGTGTCTGGGCAATGGCTTCTTGAAGTCAGGGCTTGTCCTATGTACCTGTGTGCCCAGGTCTGCCGGGCCCAAAGCAGCCACTCACAAATGTTTGCTGAATGACTGAATGGCCCTGGTATTCTGTGGGTCCGGTGCACCAGCTCAGCCCATCCTGACGTGTAGCCCTGCCGTCCCCATAGCTCCATGTTTGGGGTGTCACCCCTGCCTGTGACGCCAGTGAGTCATTTCACTTTGTGAGCTTGTTGTCTTACCCGCAAAGCACAGACTGAGACCTGCCGCACTTCAGTGAACCGTCAAATGTGCGAGACCTTCAGATGCCTGAGTCCTGTGCACAAGCCAAGTCAGAGTGAGTGGCAGATTCATGCCAAGGGGGCCTACGGCCTTGGCGGCAGGCACTCCCCTGGGGCTGCCAGGGCCTCTTCCCAGCACCATGGAGAGTGGAGGCTGTTTCTCAAACTGACCTGCCTGTGCGTGGCCCAGCTCTTGTGTGGCTGGGAAACTGGGGACAGGAAGGAACCGGGGCCCTTCGCATGTGTTACTTAATAATCCCTGCGCACTTGGAGGCAGATGTCAGCGCTCCATTACACAAAAGACGAGAAAACTGATGCTCAGAGGTGCCGAGTCCCTTGCCCAGGATCTCACGGCTAGGAAGTTGTCCAGAAAAGAGTCGTCCGGGGACACCAAACCTCCCCTTGTCCCTTTGCCAGAATCCAATCTATCCCACCACACTCTGAGTCAAGAGGGGGAAGTTCAGAGAAACGAGTGAGCCCAGAGAAGATTTATTTTTCCTTTGATAAAAGTGTGCACAGGAGATATTACAGTCAGGAGTCCTCAGTTTTCACCAAAAAGTCAGAAGTTATTGCAGTTGTGCCCAATGGCTCTGATGTGGAAGGAAAACTAGAAAGCTTCCCGTGTTCAGAGAGAGGGACCTCGTTTAAAGTTGTAGGGTCCGCCCCACAATGGGGTGCACTGGGGTCAAGAGTGAGAGGAAAGGACAATGGGGGCAACAGGGTGGCCTGCGCAAGGGCAGGCTGGGGCCACCTCCCTACTGGAGGCAGTGCACAGGTGGCCGGCCAGGCCCTGTAAAGGGGACAGCAGAGCCAGGACCACAGGGTGCCTTGGGGTGGCCAGCGGGTGTCTCACCCCCGCCGCAGCGCCTGCAGCTGGTGGGCCACCTTCTCCAGCTCTGCCTCGATGGCCGACAGGCTCTCCAGCTCCTGGTCCTAGGAGAGAAGACCGAGGGTCATACAGGGACTGTATGCCGGCATGGCGGAGTATGCTGCCAGCCAGACAGGCTGTGCTGCTGGCTGGCTGTGTGGCCTTGGACAGGTGGCTTTGCCTCTCTGAGCCTCAGGGGCCTCTGTGTACCACGGGGACAGGAATGCCACCCTACAGGGCTGCTCCGAGGAGTCCTGTGCCCCTGGATGTGGAGAAGCAGGCCCTGACCCCACCCCCCACCCCCGGTGGCCTCTTACTCAGGCCTGCTGCCTCCTGAATGGCCCCAGGGGCCCCTGAAAAACAAAGCCTGTGGTTCAGGGCTCCTTCCGGTCCCCCACACCAGACTTAGACTATGGTGGTGGCTCTGGGTGTGAGGCCAGGCCTCCTGACCTGAGCGTCCATGGGCCTGAGGCACAGGTGCGAGCTGTCCCTGGTCTGCCTGCCTGGGGTTGGGCCTCAGTCCCCGCTCCCAGTCAGGCAGTCTGAGCTCTGATTGACAGGCTGGTTCAAGGATGTTCTGTGAGCATGAACCCGGCTGGGTACCCCCACCTCGGGAAGCTTCCTGGAAGCCTCCTGCCCTCAAACTCGGAGCAGGAGTCAGGGGAGGCCGCCCCAGCCTTGACCCAGGAGAGGTGGTCTTCTTGGGGTCCCTGCTGGATACCAGTCTACAGAGGGTACCCTCCCCCATCCCACACTGGGACAGCACAGACAACCCTACCAGGGACCTACTCAGTTGCCATGGAAACAGGGACCCTAGAGCCCTCTGTCTTGGAGTAGGCCATGGGGTATGGGTTCCATGATGCTGGGGCCATTTCTAAGGAGACCCTTGGCCTGGGCAGAGTGGTCCGCACTGCCGCTCCCTGCAATGCAGGGCTCCCTCTGCCTGTGGAGACATGAGCTGGCAGGCACCTCAGGGCCCCTGTGGGGGTGGGGCAGGAGTGACCAGAGGTGCCCAGCCTTGTCCTGGGCCCAAAAATGAGGCGGGAGGCAAGCTGCTATGGCCTGTAGCCCCATCCTCTCGGTCTCCTGGGGACACAGGCAAGTGCCTTCTTCCTCTTGGGTTGCCAGGGCCCTGGTCCCAGGCCCAGAGAGAGGGTTGGAGACCAGAGGAAGTGGCCAAACCCTCCTCTGGGTGCACAGGTCCCAGCCCCCATAAGTTCCTAATTCCCACCTGGGCTCTGAGGCTTGAACCATTGACCCCTGGCCTGCCCGTTTCAACCCCAAGGCTGCGTGGCCACCCTGCCAGGGGCCCCAGCTCCCTGCCCCAGTCCTGTGGGGCTGCAGCTCTGTTCCCCACTGAGTTGCTCGCACAGCCCCGGGCACGGCTGGGTTTCAAAGCTCACATGTGACCTGGTCATGACAATGCGGTGACTGATGAGGTTCGGAGGAGAGTGACCTGCCCAGGGTCCCACAGCAGGAGGAGACAGAACCCAGGCTTTCGGGCACCCACATGCTTCCCCAACTCACCACCAGACAGAAAGTCAAACTGGTTCTTCCCCTCCCCCTCTGCTATTCAGGGGTGGGAAGCAGGGCCTGAACCTGGGAGAGAAGGGTATACCGGGGCTACGTGGGGTCCAAGGGGGGGTCTTACCAAAATGCCAACTGTCCCGTTAGTGTCCTGTCCTCTCATGCCCTCCCAGCTCTCAGGGCCCGTGGCACCCTGGCCTCGGATCCCTGGGGTAGCACGTGGCCCTCCTCAGGCCAGTCCCGTCAGGTCCTCCAGTTTCCAATCTCTCTCCATCCAAACCCCCAGCTCCACCCATTGCCACCCCCTTGCCCTGCTCCCAAGCCTGCAGAGGCTCCGTTGTCTTCAGGACAGTTGCCTCTCAGTGTCTCTGGAGACCAGCTCAACTTGCCACCTGACACGCCCTCTCTCCTGCCCCTTCCCAGGTCTCTACCGAGTCTGCCGGAGCGCCCTGTGCGAGCCCATCTCCAGCCCAGACTCCCAGGGGACCGAGTCCCCTTGTGGAGCAGCAGCCACATACACATCCGGGGGCCACTGCCCCTCAGCTGGGTCCACACCCAAGGGCCTGGCCTGGGGCTGGCTGCGGCCTGTACCAACCTCTGGTCTGCGGTTGGCGCTGCCTTCCTCCTCCTTCTTCTCCTCTGGGTGGCTGTGCCCCCGGAGGGGCAGGCCTGCCTCCACGGTGTCCTCCTGGGGGGACGGCCTCCACCCTCGCAGCCTGGTGCCCCTGAAGCCGTAGCCCCGGGCCTGGTAGGGGAGCTGCATGGAGCGGTCCGGGTCGTCGTCCTCCACGTCCTCCCCGGCCAGCCGCTTCTCAGCTGTCAGCTCTCTGGCCAGCTGGTCCATCTTGCTCCATCGCTTGGCTTCCTCCCACTCCTTGGAGAACCGCTCCTCCTGCTCCTGCTCCCTGCTCTTCCCGCCCCGGAAGGGGCCTAGAGGGGCCCCTGCCATCTCCTCCTCCTCCTCCTCCTCCTCCTCCTCCTGCAGGGACTGTTCCTGCTCTCCCTTCTGAGTTTCCTCAGCCCCAGTCTTCCCACCTCCATCCACAGCCGGAGCCTTGGATTGACCTGGAGCAGGTGGTGGACAAGAGTAGGAGATGAAGGCGGGTTCGCCACCCTCCCCAGCCCGGCCACTGCCTGGGGCCGCTCTGTGGCCTCCATTGAACCACAGACCCCACATGCAGGGCCGGCTCAGCCTCACCTCAAGATTCTACTTGGATGGAAAAGGCCATCTTGACCCCATGCTTTGCAAGACCCTCTCAGCAACTAGGGGGATCGTGGCTGCTTCTGCCTTTAGCCCTTTCAGCCCAGCAGCCCTCAGCTCAGAGGTCACCTGGCTACTCAGAGAGGAAGGACCTTGATGAGGCTCCAGGGAGAAGCCAGGGTCTTTCCCAAACCTGGCTGAAGTTGACAAAGGTTCCCAGAGAAGCCTGGTCCCTCGTCATGTAGTCCCTCTGTTCCCAAAGCCTACCCACCCAACCTGCAGAGCCCCTCCGGCCTCGGGGGTTGAGGGATGGGGGTCTCTGTGGAATAGTGGAGATGCATGATTTTGGAGTCAGACAAACCCGGGTTGGAATCTCCGATTTTACTACAAATTAGCTGTGTGACCTTGGGCAAATTACTTAACCTCCCTGAATCTTAGTTTCCATCTGGAAAGTGGAGATTATACCTGCTGTCAGGGTTGTTGTGAAGGTGGGATGAGATTATGAATGAGGCCCCCCTCCCACGCACCCCCTCTCGCCTACACATCGCTGAGGTCTCAGGTAGCATACGTACTCTCGCCCCTCGGGGCCTCCTTGTAGCCGAGGCTCGGGTGGGCGTCAGATGCTGCGGTGGGGCCTTCTTCTTCAGAGACAACCTTCTCTTCAGCCTCTGGGTCCTCCTCCTCCTCCTCCTCCTCCTCCTCCTCTCTCTTTGCCTGCTTCCCTTGCTCCGCACCCAAGCCCTTTTCTGTGTTCACTAGACCCTGGGAGGGGGCCTCGCTGTCCCCCTGAGCCTGCGGGCCTGGATATTTCTGGCTGGGGAGGCTGGCTGGGGGGTGGGAGTTGGTAGCCTCCTCCTCCCCTGGGGCTTGGTCATCCTCCTCAAGCGTGGAGCCCTGCCCAGGCTCCAGGGAGGCCGGGGGCCCGGCTCCGTCCGCGTCTCCGCCATTCCTCTCCACCTCGCTAGAGTCCCCCGTTTCCTCTGCGGCCTCCTTGGAGGACATCTCTTCCGTCCCCTCTGCAGAAAGAACAGAGCAAAGTCAGGCCCCGAGGGCCGGGCTGCATTCGGGGTCTCCCCAGAGCCCAAGTTCAGATCTAAGGACCACAGCTACCCTCTCCATGTCCCAGTTTGACCTGGGCACAGATGGATCATGTTTCTTTGTAAGTCTACCTCTTAAAGAAGAAGGGTGATTTAAAAAAAAGAAAAAAGGCCTTTAAAATGTCCCCAGAAGATAGAGTCCTGAGTGGAAAATTAGGGCATCAGCTGAACTACTGTGTGATCTTGGGGGAGGGGTCCCCCAACCTTCCTGTGTGAGGGGCACCATTATTGTGATTTCCTTCCTTCTTCCACATGGGGCTTCTTGGTCCTGAGCATCCCAGAAGAGTGCTCAGTTCCTCGATAGTTGGCATTTTCGTTGAAAGGTGTTTTCTTGTGGCTGTTTTGAAGACAGCCTGTGAACTAGCATTAGTCCCCCCCCCCCCAGCACCAGGAAGCCTACAGTTGCACAAAGCAGCATGCGTCCACCACATGCCCCCAGGACTCCCACTGAACGTGCTCCCGTCCCACTCCCAGAAGCTCAGACGGTCCCTCAGAAAGGCGAGGAGGCCTGTCCATGCCCGTGAAGTCTGTGGGCTGCCGAGCTGAGCCCTGAGCCCAAGCTTCCGAATGCCAAGCACAGGGTGCTCTTTGCACTGACACTGGCTGCTTCCCGTGTTGAAGCTTCCAGATGTGCACATGCGCGCACACTCACTGCACCCGCTCCTGCAGCTCCTGACAGACATCCATGGTCATCCAGATGCTTGTTGCCATGGAACCAGCTTGTGGGAGCCCACGCCCTGCCCCAGCCACCACTGGAGAGATGGCCCTGGCCCATGTGAGAGCCCCTGGGCCACACCAGCAGGCAGGCCTCCGGATAGAAGACCACCGAAACCCTGCTCCTACAGACTGGCCTTCTTCGCCCACCTTCCACATGCAAAGGGTGGGGCCGACGGGGGCACTTTGGGGGTGTTTGCAGGTAGGAGGATGAGTCACAGACCCCCCTTGACCTAAGCCATGATCTCTTTGACCCCTAAAAGCTCTCTGGCTCGAGAAAGATGACCCAGTTCGTCTAGTGTTTCACACGTGCTCCTCTGGGACCCTCTTGCAACTTGGCTAGGCCGAGGGACCACCCCACCCCGGGAGGGCAGGGGCTCAGGGCAGGGGCCCTGCTGCAGGGGCTGCTGGGAAAAGCCAGGCCAGACACTTCCTGCTCTCTGGGATGAGCAGATGGGACTGAAGGAGGGCTTGGGAGTGAGACAGACCCAGAGCCACGTCTCCAGTTATGCCTTGGACAAGGGGCTTGCCCTCCCTGGGCCTCATTTGTAAGTGGGAGGAAATAACAGCTACGTTAGAGGGTGTCAAGAAGGGGCTCCTGCCTCCCAGCAAGACTCAGTCTACAACAGCTGCTGTTAGTATCTCCTCCCTCTCTCCCCTGGCCCCCGGCCAGACGGGCCGGCACGCACCCTTCGGCCCGTCTTGGTCGTTCTGCTGCTCAAGAACTTCCGAGAGTTCCTCCTCAAAGCTGCTGTGTTTCTTCTGCTGCTGTGCCCTCTCCTTGGCACCTGGTGTGAGAAAAGGAGAAGAAAGTCCCCTTTAGTCTGAGCCGGCATGTTTGTCTACAAAAGGGAAGGCCCCTCCATTTCCTTGGGTGTCATGTTCCAGGCTTGCCCGGCGGGGGAGGGGGCGAGAACTCAAGGAGCCGGGAAGGGCTGGCTGCCCTGGTCCCCACCCAGCTGGGGCCCATCAGTGGCCATATACCTCCAGGCTCAGTTTCTCACCTTGGAAATGAGAACAAGCCCTGCCTGCTGCCCCAACAGAGCGACACGGACTCAGATGGAGCGGAGGGTCCCGGGGCAGATGTGGAGACTGGGGCCCTCTCAGGACCCGCCTGGTATTTGGGGGTCCCTGCAGCACGAGTTTACAGGACAGTCACCACTACTTCCTGGGGGTTCTTGATTCAGGCAAATGCCATTCACCCTGGACCCCATACGTGCAGGCCCCTGGGAGAAAGCAAACCCCATGCCTGTGTCCAAGCCCTGGGTTGTCATCTGCTGCTGGGATGCAGAGACCCCTCTCCCTGCGTCAGCCCAAGGCTGCCGCCACCTGGGACTATCCCCACCTATGCCTGTTCCTGACGAGGGCTCCTTGCCCAGGCCAACTCTGTAGCTGGTGATGATTTTTCCCCCACGATGAGGGTTTCTGGAATGGCCAGAGAAGCCTGACACAGCGGTCATGGGCAAGGGAGGCTGCCCAGAGGAAAGAGACCCTCTCTGCCACCCAATCAGGAAAGCAACCCTGCTGCAGTGGCTGAACTCGAGGCAGAGCTGCCTCAGGTCCTGGCAAAGCCCTAACCCACTGCATTACCTTGGGCAAGACCCTCAACCTCTCTGGGCCTTGATCTCTTCAACCACATCAGCGGCAGGCTGAACCCAGGAGTGTGGAGGAACCCTCCCTCCCACTCTCTAGTCAAAGGGCATTAACTGCGAATCAGGAAGATGCGGACCTGCCAGACCTTCCACCCTGATTTCCTGACTCTCAGTCCCTGGAATTTACCCAGATGCAGGTGCAGTGGCTGGAAATACCTTGGAGAGCAAGGTCTTGGAGCTCTTTCAGCAAATTCTGGTGTCGCAGGATTGAGAGGATCCGTTCATCTGCAATGAGGGAGAGTCGTCATGGGCCGAGGCCAGAGAACAAACAGCCGAGAAAGAGACGCCATCAGCAGTTTCAGCTGAGACAAGGACTGGATTCTGGACGCTCAAAGCCTGGGTGGTAGCAGCAAGACTGGGTCTTGAGATAACACTTGAAATGACGTGGTTTCCAAGGCGGCGGCCAGTTTTCCGCTACAACAGCAGGGGCAGCCCCTGTCCCAGCAGTCCGACCTCGGCCGAGAGACGGCAGCCCTGAGGTGCAGTAGGGGCGTCCCGAGACACGACCCGTCTGCCCGCCTCCTCGCCTTCGCGTGTGCTGCCCGAACCTCCAGGATCCCTTTCTCCATTTCACTACCCGTTGGTGTCCCACTTCTCTCTTAACCCCAACCGCAGTGCTAATGGTGGCTCTAACCAAGGGCGGGCCCAAAGCTGCCTCCTTCCCGTGCCCATCATGGGTGGTCCTTTACACATCACGTATCCATAGGTGTTGCTGGCACTGGGGCTACAGCACACCGCATCCTTGTCCCCAGGGGGCTCACACTCCCTTGCAGCCCAGAGTCCTAACTATTTGCATTCATTTTTGTCCCCTCCGCTGGTCAGTAAGCTCCAGTGTACCTTGCTCTCCCTGCACAGCTCAGATGGGCACACACACAATCAGTGCCTATTGGTTTAGATCACTGAATTCCATCAAAAGCCACCCACCCAGGCCCCCAGCCCAGCAGGCAGCAGCCCCGCACCGCCGGCCTGGCCCCTACCTCCTCGGAGTGTCTCAAAACACTCCTGGCTCACAGGCACCGGGCTGGGCTTGGAGAGCGTGTCGGAGATGACCTCGACAATGCACTTCATCACCTGGGAAGAGAGCAGAGCAGGCAGGGCGGCTGGTTTGGGCATGGAACTCAGCCCCTGGGAGCTCCAGGGCAAGTTTCTAATGAGGACGTACGGCACAGGGGGCAAACACGAGGCCCGCGGGCTGACTCCGGCCCTCCACCTTGTTTTATCTGGCCCAGCACCTTGTTTCTACACGGCGGCCGTGCCGAGCTCTCACTTAACTGTTAAGGAGTAGTTACACTTATACAGTCCTAAAATTACATTTGGCCCTTCGAAGGCAACTGTGAGGCTGATGTGGCCCCCGGTGAAAATGAGTTTGACACCCTTGACATAGGGCACTAGCTTTTGTCTTCGGCAGTCCATGCATGCCTAGCTCAGGGGTGCAGCTCCCCTTTCTCAGCCAGAGAACAGCAGTGGCAAGAGAAACCCCTTATGGTACTTATCATGTGCCACGTGACCCCATCACTTGGCCAGCAGGTGCCCTTCTGCGGTGGGCGTGGCTACCTGGCACCCTCTTGTCCCCAAGGGTTTCTCCGAAGATGGGGAAGCTGCTCTCGGGCATCAGACACATGTCTTGCCAAAGTGCTTTAGTCTTGCAGATGCCCAGAAGGTCAGCTACTGCCCTGACTGGTGTGGCTCAGCAGGTTTTGTGGCATCCTTCCTGCAAGTGGGAAGGTCGCCAGTTTGATTCCATGTCAGGGTACATGTTTGGGTTGGAGGCCAGGTCCCCAGTTGGGGGTGTGCGAGAGGCAGCTGATTGATGTTCCTCTACCTCTCTCCCTCCCCTCCCCTCTCCCTAAAAATAAATACATAAAATCTTTTTGAAAAAAAAAAAAGAAAAAGAAAACAGCCGTCAGCCATCTCTAGGAAGCCTGCCTCAACCGCCCAGGGGAGAACATAGGCCTTCCCTGGCTCTTGCCCTGTCTGGAAATGGCCACTGGACCACTGTCTCCCGACAACCATGGCGCTGTCACATGCAGGGGATCACAGTCTGGCTCCACAGCAGGGGCCCGCCGCTGGAGATGGGCACGCATCAGCTATACCTGGACGCCCACCGCAGCCATATCCCTGCAAGTCTTATTCGGTCCCTAGCAAGGTGCTGTGGATAATCAGGCACCTGGTAAATGGACAATTGAAGACAGCGCCAACTGCAGCGTGTGTGGTATCTCAGCTGTGTTGCCTGGGGTATGTGACTTGGCCACTCTGAGCCTCAGTTTCTTCCCTTGTAAAATGGAACTGAGAAGAACAAACACTCTATAAAGCGGGAAGTGCCACCCCCCCCCAGGGATGGATACACAACCCCCAGCCTGCTTCAGCTGTCTAGAGCCAGGCAGAGGGGCAGGAGGTGTCAGACGTGCGTCAGGCAATGCTGGTTGGGAGTGAGGGGGTGGAAGGCTGTGTGTACAGGTGCCAAGGCAACCCGTCCAAGGATCCAGGATGGCAAACTGGCAAACGGCTTTTACGGTTGTCATAGCATCCAAGGATGGAACGTTCAGGTCTTACCCAGCTGTCCTGGTGCCTCTGACCCCAGGCTCCTGAGTACAATATGGTGACTTAAAGGTCTCCCAGAAGGGACCTGGTGAGGAGGGCCCTTCAGCCTATACCTCGTTTTTTCCTGCAACCCCAGACCTTGCACTGGGAATAGCAGATAACCAACAGTCCAAGAGGACAGATTCTGAGAGACAGAAATTGGGTATGGATCCCAAGAACAATGGGGAGATCGAGAAGGGAACCCCTAGAAGTAACACTGCCTATTTACTGAGGACCTACTATGTGTCGGGCACCTTACACCTGATTCCAACACCTCACAACTCTCCTTGAGGGAAATACTATTACAGATGGGAAAAGAAGAAGCTCAGAGAAGTTAAGGGATTTCCCCAAGACCACACAGCTTCAATGAGTGGGAGAGGTTTAAATACAGACTTGTCTGCAACTAAAGAAGAAAAAACATAATTGAGCAAATCGGTGCATTCTCTGGAATGCAAGGGCACAGCTGCTGGAAAGGTGGGGAGCAGAAACTTATCTGACTCTCAGTGAAGGTGTCTGTGGGCACCGGAGACTGGAACAATAGCCTCAGCTCAGACGTGAACAAATTTCCAGTACACGCCCAACATGGAGTGTCTCCCACTGGTTACAGAACCCCCCACCAGTGTCTCCCAAGCTCCTCTCCTGGGTGACATCCACCATCAGCCCTAAATGACTGGGACCCTAGACCCAGAAGCCACAACAAAGGTTTTCACGGCAGCCCTCTGGGAAAGTGGGGCTTGAGTGCCTGTAGGTAGGATGTGTTGCTGGAGGAGCCTTGGGGGGAGGGGTTAAAGTAAAGGGGGAAGTGAAGACCTGGTTCTCAAGTGTGTGGATGACCACAGCCACAGAATGGAGAGGCCATCCCCAGCAGCCCTAGCTGGGTCTGCCAGACTCGAATGTTCAAGACAGTGGGTCCAGCACCCCAGTCCAGCAGGTAAGACACAGGCCCCAATGGGCTGCAGACTCAGCTCGGAGGATGCTGGGGAAGTCCCCACAGCAGGATGGCGGGGCAGCCAAGCAGCCTTTGATGTCTTTTTTTGTGAGCTGTTCCCAGGCTCAGCAGCCGCAGTGCTGGCTGTGGGCTTCATTCCAGACTCACTTCTGCAGCTGCCCAAGGACTGGCTGTATGGTGTGCACCGGGGCCTCCTGTCCCCCTCCTGGGCATCCCCGCACCCCTTCTTACCTCGGTGTCCCTCTTATTCACAGGGCTATTCACAGGGAGGGCGCTGACTGGGAAGAAAAAGAGAAAGCTGGGGTTACCCCTCTGCTCTGAAGGGAGAGCCCAGTCCTTCTTTCCCAACAGGGTTCATTGAGGGCTCATTCACCTCGGTGTTCCCACTCAAAACCACCCCCACCCAAATGACACGCTGGGGCTGATTTTGTTTCCCTTCCCTGGCTGCTGCCCCAAGGGGGTGTCTCCCAGAGGCTGCCCTGAAGCCTTAAACCCTGCCCTTTGGGGAAGCTTCTGCTCTGGAGGGAGTGTGGGAGCTGATGGCAAGCGTGAAAACAAGGCCAAGGGCTGAATGGGGTTGGGGTGGGAGGAGAATGCGGGGAGAGGCAGAGAGACCCGGGCGGTGAGGGAAAAGAAATGGAGAAGGAGGGCTGTGAGAGACGATACTGAGAGGTAAAAGTCAAGGGCAGGAGCACGGGGAGAGCGAGAGGATGAAGAGGGACAGCGGCGAGAGTTAGAACCAGCCTCAGACCTCCCATCTCCCCCTGTGACCTTGGCCAGCCACGGCACGGAGCCGGAGCTGGCCCTAGTGCAGCCCAGACTGCAGCCCAGACAGGGGGTGGAGGCGCCAGGGGGCCCTGCCTCGCCGGGTCAGGAGTCGCGCCCAAAGCGTCGGGTCTGTGGCCACTTCGCTGGGTCAAGAGGGAGGCGGAGGCGCTGTCCGAGGTGCTGAAAACTCTTGGTGCGGTAGGGCAGGTAAGGAGGAGGGTCGCGCGGCACTGCACGGAGCCTGGGCGTCAGGGAGGACAGGGCGGGAGGAGGCAGGGCGCCCAGGCCACTTCCCCGAGACCCCGCGCTCGCTCACCTTGCCCCGCGCAGAGCAGAAGCGCCAGGACAGCGGCGGAGCGCATGGCGAACCCGGGGCGCCGAGCAGCCGGAGGTCTAGGGCCGGGCACGGCGGGCACCCAGGCGAGGGGTGGCTGGACCGGCGGTGCGGAGAGAGCTACCGCGGCACCGGTAGTAGATGGGGTGGTCGCTGCGTCTCGGTGTTTGTCCGTCTATCGGTCCGCCCACCAGCCTCACTGTGACCAGGTTGGGACACTGCAGTAGAGGCAGCAGTGGCGGCAGCGCTCTCGCGCGCCCGCTTATATACCCCGACCCCGGAAATGACGTCATCGGGCCTCCCCCTGTCTCCTTTCCCCACCCCAGTGGGGGTCCGGCTGCAGTTCGCTCCCCCTCCCGGCCTTACCCCTCTTGCCCCTGGTCCCCCGCTGCACACAGCTCCTGGGTCGGGCAACGAGGCAGGCATCCGGCTTCCAGGTGGTGGCACGGGGACCCAGCTGACCCTCCACCACTGGATGGCTCCACTGACTTGCTGTGCGTCCTTGGGAAAGGCACTCCGGGTCTCTGGGCCCTCGAATTCCTCCAGCGTGAGCGCGCTGAGGACCTTGCCCACCCTAGCACACCACTCCTCTCCTCCTCTGCCCGGGGGCTCTCATCCCCTGATCTCACCCGCCGAAGTGTGCGCGCCATTCAGGGCTCCCTCACCTGTCCAGGAGGCCCTAGAGAGGCTTCCTGAACCCTGACTGAAGTAAGGCCTCTCTCTCTGGGAACTTAATTTTGCTTCTTCACGAGTAGTAACTGCACCGTATATGTATTTATTTGTTTGAATAATACAGATGTGGTCTCCTTGGCTTTCACAGTGCTCAGCACAGCACCTGGCACGGAGTAAAGGCACTTAATAGATGGTTGTTGAATATCCCTCACAGAAGTGCAGCCCAGGCCTGAGTGGATCCTGGGCTCAGCCATTGTTGGACAGCTGTCATGGGGGACGGTGAGGGGGCCATGGGGGACAGCTCTTCATATCAAACCAAAATACGTATCTTATAACTTCTACTCATTAACCCTAGTCCAACCCCTTAGGATCACCTTCTTGCCACTGGTAACTCCTTGTGCATTTGAGAACAATTCCCTTGAGTGTCGTCAAAACCTGGGTGTTTTGTGTGTATGGTTGTTTGGTTCCCTGGCGTGTTTCTCTCTGCCCTGGGGCCCTTGCTTGACCACGTTGCTACTCTCGACCCGGGGGCCACATCGGAAATCCTTTGCCACCTGACCCCAATGTCATAGTGAACCTGGTATCCGAGCTGCTGTTCTGTTTGGCGCTGGCTGGTGTTGTCCAAAGCCCCTCCTTCCCGGGGACCCCCCATCTCCTGTGGCTGTTCCCTACATCCTGCCCCCGCCCCAACCTGAGCCCACTCTATCCCTAAAAAAGAAACTGGCAGGAGCTCAGAGGAGATGAAATGGTCTTGTTCATGCATTTATTCATCGTCAACTGTTGGTTAGACACCTGCTATGTACTTAGAACCCCTTAGAAAAGCGCTCAGCTGTTCTGGGTGCTGAGGGTACAGCAGTGAACAACACAGAAAAAGCCGGTCCTTACGGAGTTTACATTCTAAAGGGTGAGACAGACAGCGAATAAGTAAAGAAGTAAATGCTCAGTGTGGCAGGTGCTGTGGACAAAAATCAGGGAAGTGGGCGTTCTGGGGGCGGCAGTGCTATCTGTTAATAGGATAGATCTGAAGAGGCCGCGCTCAGGAGGGGACATTTCACCAAACACCTGAAGTTGGAGAAAGAGCGGGGTTGCCTGCGTCCTGGGGAAGCGGGTTGCAGGTAGAGGGAAGAGCAAGTGCAAACACCTGAGGGAGGATCGTGCCTGGCGTGTTCCAGGAATGGCGAGGAGAGAAGGCCTGCAGGAAGAGCCCCTGTACTCACACCAGCCAGAGATGAGCATTGATCATTTTAAAGTGTGCATTCTGCTGCCTTGGTTGAGTGGGCGCTTTGGTAAAGGGCAGTTTCCAGGGCAAGACTTCAGCTGAGCGCTGAAGCTTAAGTGCCCCAGGCCCTTCTAATTTAGGGTCATCTTGAGTGTGACTCACAGTTTTGCACAGTGCTTCTGTCCAGCATCATACCACAGCGGTGTATCTAGGTCGTGCGTACACTGGCCCACCACAACTTACTGTGTGCCGCAACTCGTGATACACAAACGAGTTTCCTAGTGTTTTGTTGTTGCTATCAAGAACAACCTCACAGTTCTGTAGCATTTGTGATGATTTTACTTAATAGTAGGGGAACTCCTTGGTCCGAGGAAGTAGACATTTTCAAGGTACTTGATATGTACCGCCCAACTGCCATGAAGAAGGACGGACCAGTTTCCAGGGGCGTGGACTGTCCTCGTGGGAAGTTTCTGAGCCACTGCCGTCCTCCTGGCAGCACCTGCTCTTTCAGAGCCCGACCCTGTGTGTCATGAAACTGAGCATAATCGGGCAGCAAAAGTGTCCCCAGCTAGTCTTTCCAAGTGACGATTCCAGTAACTAGCATTTGCATGGTGCTCCCTGGCTCTTCAGAATGGTCTGGCACTGACCCCTGAGAGCACCCCTAGGCCTAACTTAGAGAGTGATTTCAATTCTCCTTTGCAGATTTGGAAACTGCAAAGAGATCTGGGATGTTGAGGGGAGCACCCGAGGTGCCCCAACGCAAGTAAATGGGAAAGGTGGACCCAGCGCTCGTTTTGCCCAAATGCCCCAACTTTCCTGCCATCTCGTAATGTCTCATAGGCTGTGACCTCTCTTGGGAAGCCTCCCAGTTACTATCCACTCCCTCCCTTGTGGCCTGGCTCTGTGACAAGGATTTGGGAGTGTTTGGAAATGACTCGAGGAAGCACAGAAAGGGAGTAGGAAGTGAGACCAGGGAAAGCGAAAGGCCTGTGAAGGGTGTGTTGGTGCGGGAGTCACCACTGAGGGCAGCAGAGACCCCGTGTAGCTGGGGCCTGCGGAGATACTGCGTAGAACACACCTCAGCACTGGTCCACGGGGGTGGAGACGCTGGGGACTCACCTCACTGGGGGTCTCCCCTGGAGGTACTGATTTGCCAGCACTTCTAGTTTGCTCTGGGAAAGGGCCAGTCAGAGCTCCCACTGCCAGAGAACATGCTAAGGCAGAGAATCCTGGAAGCTGTAACTGTCTACAGGTAACTTCCAAGGTGGCCCAAGGGGACATCAGGGAGACACTCACATCTGCTACAGGGCTCTATGCATGTTATTTCATTTCACGTTTACAATAAACCTGTGGCTCAGTTCTCAGCACTTATGTTTCTCACAGGCCGAAGCCAAAGCTCAGAGAGATGGAGGAACTCTTCTAAGGTCACACAGCTTGGAAATGGTGGTGTCTGGGGGCCAGCTATCTGTCCTGTGTCACTTCACACTCTCCTTCCCAGGCCCTACACCCTCTGTCAGCCTCATGTTTTAACTGGTCCCCATCAGCAACCCCCACCAAAAACGACTGCCTTCAGGATTTGGGGGCTTCTCATTTTTTGAGGAAGACAGTTGATGACTTTTTCACCTTAGGCAGAGGAAGCGTGGAGAAAGGCTAGTTGTATTACTCTAAGTCTACATGCGCAATCTCCATCAAAGCCACATCCTTGCTTTGTTCAAGGTCTATCTGGAAAAAGTCCAGCCATTGATAATATAATGAGGTTTGCGTGACATCAATGTAACCTGTCAGCCAAGGATAGTGGACTAGAATAAACATGCTTGAACAATGACAACTTCACTGTACTAGTCAGTGGGGGCAGTAGACACCGTTGAGTGAGCATGTGCACTGTGTGGCCATCACATTCAAAATGACTGAGCAAGGAGAGCAATGAATCTGCATCACATTTTGCATGAAACTAGAACATTCCTCCGCAGAAACTATTCACGTGATTCAGAAGGCCGAAGCTCTGGGCAACTGGTGATTGGCAGCTTCATCACGACAACTCGCCCACTGATGAATCACATCTCGTACAGAGTTTTTGGTGAAACATAAATCACCCAGGTGACTCAGCCGCCCTCAGCCCAGATTTGGCGCCCTGTGACTTCTGGCCTTTTGCAAAATTAAAATCACCTTTGAAAGGGAAGAGATTTTCAGACCATTGATGAGATTCAGGAAAATAACACAGGGCAGCTGATGGCTATTGGGAGAATTGTGTGAGGTCCCAAGGTGCCCACTTTGAAGGGGAGTGAGATGTCATTGTCCTGTGTACAATGTTTCTTGTATCTTGTATCGCCTTCGATAAACATCTCTATTTTTTATATTACACAGATGGATACCTTCTGGACAGACCTTGTATATGCAAGATTTTTGGACAAGTTCTCTGGCCCCCATTTCTTTTCAGGGCACTGCCCCAAAGCCCTCTAACCTTGACATTCTGGAGCTGCCTCTGGTTATAACAAGCATCTCTCATTTGGTGCACACGGTCAAGGAAGGGCCTTGTTTTTCCTCCCAGACCAATTTTCTTACGGTTAACCATTCTACTGAAATGCAAAGGCCTGGCAAAGAAAACCAAGATGTAGGCGACTCTGCATTCATTACACAGGAAGAGGAAATCAGAAGGGAGTGTGGTCTGCCCTGAAGATGGGCTTCGCTGCCCATCCGAGCATGGTGTTAAAGTGCTGAGGGTCCAGCAGGTCCCTGCACACTGATGCTGCAACATCTGTGCCAGATTTGATCCATGCACAAAATGTGTTTTGATTATCACTACATATATATGCTGCCTTGGTTTTCCATGTCAGATGAAGCAGTGAGCTGACTGGATGGTGCAGGTGTAGCATAGCTGACTGACAGGAAGAGACAGGGGGGGAAGCCAAGTCGGGAGCTCTTTGCACTGGGGTATGTGGAGGGCACTGTGGATGAGACTCCTTAGCCTTCATCCCAACCCTCTTGCTGTGTGCAGATGTAGGAGAGCTAAAAACTACATTTCCCAGACTTCCTTGCAGCTAAGGGCCTGGATGTGATTTCAGTCCTGCAAATCAGAGGAACTTACACAGGAAGTGGATTTGGAGGTTTATGTGGGGGAGATGGGGTGCAGAGCTATGCTGCTGCCAGTGTGGACGTGACTGAGGTGGGTGGCTCTGGAGGTGGCAGCTATGGTGTCAGCTCCCCGAGGGGACAGGTAGTTTCCTGCTTCAGTCTTTCCAGTGATTCTGAAAGCCACCGGATTTCCTGTTTCCTGAGCTGAACCCCAGCTGAAACAAGGAAACAGCCATCAAGGAGAGTGAGCAGTTCTGACA